ATCCACCCATGTCGGCTGGTCATAGCCCTTCCAATAGACCTGGAATTATCGGTGCACCCGCCCATATCGGGTGCGTCTCCCTGACCGCACGTTCGCAATCCGTTCCACCTCGAATTCGTCTTCGTCCAGCGGAGTGTCCCAGCTATCGTCAGGCAGCAGTTCTTCGTCGAAGTCTACCCGATCGGCGTCTTCGGTGTTCAACACAACCTTTGGCCGATCAGGGAATGATCGCACTGGCTTCAGCTTCGACATATGTACTATCGGGAAGATTCGATACTCTGAGCCTGCAGTCTCGAGATGAGATGCGTGATTGCCGATCAGCTCAGTGACGCGGAACGGTCCATGCCACATGTGTGCGAGCTTTCGGGCGTAGCCTTCCTTGACGCGATCCAGGTAAAGCCATACCTGTGTGCCTTCTTCAATCCTGTGTGGTCTAACGTTTTCGTTATGCTGGTCAGCTCTGGACTTGATCGCATCACGTAGACTCTCGTTGACTGTTTCCCTGGCTCTGCGGTATTGTCCCTGTATGTGGTACCTCCATCTCCGTGCATCGCAATCGCGGCGGCGTGTCGATCCCACCGATACAGCAGCTTCAAGCGTCGACCGCGGGTCCCCATCCATGCGCTAGGAAGAACGACGTTTCTCCCCTCACTCGATCGTGCGTCGTATTCAACGCAAACGTCAGCCGCTCTGCATAGTCGTCCCAGTCTTGTTGGTTGACGTCTGCGACGTACATCTTCAGGGCTTGTGTCAGGGTTTGCACCGCTCGCTCTGCTTTGCCGTTCCTGTGGTAAAGTGGGATCGAAATCTCACGAGAAGAGCAACCTCGGCTACCAGATCGCGAGAGAGAGACGGATCAGGCGACAGCAATCCCACTCTGAGCCAAGACATCGAGACAATTTCCCAAGATCAGGTGTGCGACAAGACCAGTGAGTGATGGAGATTACGGATGACCCAAGATTGACTGGAGATGACCCAAGATCGACCCGACGGAATGGTGGGTGGCGATCCACCCTCATTATATCGCGTGAGGGCCGGATCAAGGCAATTCGCGGAACGAAGCCATCCCCAAGACTCGATCCCGAATGGTGGCGGGCTGGCGGACCAAGATCGGGGCAGGACCGCCGTGTGGGGAGTCTTAACAGTCGTCGACCCAGACCTGGTCGCCGGGGTGAAGATCACCCCTCGACAACCCCAGGCTGCATTTCAAGGATCCAAGTCGGCACCCCCGATGGCGAACACGGGGGGCCATCACAGATCGAGGTAGACCGGGGCGGATCAAGACGACCG